TTAAATGGAGGGGAACGGGACAAAAACGAATACCTACGGAAGGAGGTACAATCCCTTCAATAGCCTTATTGCTGTTAACGACTATCTAATCGCCATCTCCCAGATATGGACGTTGTTTTGGGGTCATAGTTCTGCCTGTAGATCCATAGTGTTCCTCGAATTCGCATTGGGAATTTGTTCTCTCTAATCTGGGCCGTGTCAATCGTGAAGTTGTCTGCACCTGGTCACGTAATGTGATTTGCCTCTTCTAGCGATTCAACGAAGATTTAGTTATCAACTCTTTTTTAACTACCTGACGTGGCTGTGATAGCTTAGGTATAGATCAGACTAGAATTTGGATGCTTTCCTGCTGGAGCTAGTCTCCTATTTGCCACGGGGAATTCGGTCTTCTATTTCTGAGGCCTTTTGATTCCTATATGATTGTATTTAAATATTAAAGTTTCCGAGTTTCCGAATTTTTGCCACAGTGTCTCTTCGACTGTCGTCTGTCGCTGCATAACGTCATACGAAGAATTAATTTTGCGCGGAAATTTGTAGTACTTTGAACATCAATACAAACACGCAGGTCTAATCAATGAACAGTGCAAAAACGACGAATAAAAACTAGAAAGGGAGTGGGTTAAGAATCAATGGACTAGAAACCGCCGCGGCAAAGCCAGGTTCTCAACATCATATAGACGTTTACACAGGTCGTGTTCGACCCTGCGTATGTGAACGACTGTCGTATAGTGCAGTTTCCGAGATGTTCACATATGAAAGGAGACTTGGAAGTCTAGAGTGAGTGGATCCATGGTACTTCCGTTTGCCGGCATATCCTTGTTACATGGGTCCGACTTCGTAGGGCAAGAGGTTTTCTTACTTGAAAGGCCATTTAAACGTGCGCTCAAGTGGGCTAACTACTAACTGCCTTTCTATTCGCATGTGAATTCGTCTATTTAGTAAAAGTAAGACACTCTTAGTGGTTCCACTCGGTGGATTTCGTAGGACTTCAAAATATGGACCGGACACTGTTATAGGTTCTTTACTTCATATACAGTAAATTCTCAGTCATCATATTTGAAATGCTCTCAATCTCGACGGTTGGCGTATAATCTCTTATCTGTCTTCTGTCTCAGTTTATTTGACGTCTTAGTTTCTGAGTAAGTCTGGCGAAAACTGGACCAAGTCGACTTCAAATGGCGACTGCGCCAATCGAAATAAATAGCGCCTTGTGATGTATTTTTTGCAATGGACGCATGAAAAAACCGGTCCTTCCAAGAGTATCCTGTTAAGGGGGAGAACTCGCTTTAGACGTTGCAACATCCACGTGGACGTTCAACGTTTACCGGTGTGACTGTTAAACCGATATGACTGCTATGGGTCAAATTGACAGCCACTTACTTTTGTTGTGCCCCGAAAAAATGCTGTCAAGTTCGACTAAGCGATATCCCATATTCACTAAGGCTTTTACATTTCTTTTTATACCATGTTTTTTCCTGCAGATTCAC